ACATTGTAAAGAGTGTACTCATGTACACATTACATATGTGGAATCAAATGTACACATGTTGCAATATAAGACTACAATTGGCATTCCGAGCCAACCTTCACAAAATGGAAGTCTCAAGGTCCACAAACCATCTAAGCATAATGAAGACCTCAACTTTGATTATTGTACCTGAAATATGCCCCAGTATCGTAGGGGTGAGTAATATAAAGCTACTCGTAGGAATTGAGCATGCATCGACCTACGTTTTACAAGTTTGCATGATTTAATTATTGTGGTTCATTCCACCTAACGTCTATGTCAAAGATGAAACTCAAGGAGCATCCTAGCTACCTAAGATCATTTTTAGCATCAATCACCTCATTCATGCAATTTTAGCAGCATAGGGTCATGCTTACACAAAGCAACAACATAGGAGCATGCTTACACAAAGCAGCAACATAGGAGCATGCTTACACAAAGTAACAATATATAGATTCTCAAGGTTATCAACTTGAAGTCTAAAATGCAACATTAACTAAATATAACAATTTAGCATAATAAGAATATCTAATACCACACATCACGACATAGATTCTCTAGGTTATCAACTAGAAATCTAAAAGTGTGAAATCAACTAAATATAGCAATTTAGTATGGATGAACTTAACAATATCAAAATCGCCAATAGCCAAAACCACAAGTCAATAAGGTAAACATGATTGTCAACTTGGAATTGAATGCGAAAACAAAAGTGGAAAACTTAGACATCACACTCGGAATTCTGCCGAGACCTCAATGGTTATTCCGGGCACTAACCCGCAGGGAAGACCACCCTAAGTGCACACTATCTCAATGACTTAGAGGACTCACGTCCCCGTACTAGAGCCAAACCCTAGGCATCTCAACTCAACAATGTTCAAAGATTCCAAAATAAGCCAAATAAGTTCATAACTTATACATATTACTACTACATAGTAATAAGTTAGCAATATAACTCTCAATTGTGCATAATAAGCATTTCATATCCATAATGCTACGAAATCACAAGCCAACAATATATTCATATAGAAACATACTCTCATGAATATAAATTTAACAACAATACCCTTCAGTGCATATAATACAATCAAGTGAATACTTCACAAGTTTAAATCCATGATCTTAAAATAAAAGCACATTCTAAAACATGATTAAATCCATGGATAAATAAGATAGAATCTAATTACATCAAAATAATTAAACTCTCTAGATTTCAAATCATTGCCAATTGGCCCCAATATAATATATGCTAAAAGACATATCATGGACATTACATATATTCCCACAAAAGCTTAATTAGGCCCATGAAACCACAAAATTAGATTTTAATTAATTCTCTTAATTAAAGTCTCTAAATTTTCAAACTCAACCAAATGCTCTCAAATTAAAGTATGTTAACAAACATGCCAAAACTTAATTTAGAAGCATAATACAACTTAATTTCATACAAGGTACGGCCATGAATTTTAATCTTTCACAAAAGATAAATATTAATTAAAAAGAACAATTCTTATTTAATTAATCCAAATTTAATATATTTTAACTAACATGTTAAAACAAGATTTTCTACCATGCCACAATTCAAATCAAAATTATATATCATCATGAATTTTAAATCTTATACAAAGAATTAAAAATTACTAACTTTCTAAATTTGATACAAGGCACATATATAAGTTGTATAATCATGTTAAACACTTAATACAACACACACAAAAGCCTAAAACATTCCCTATCTCCATTTGAGATGAAATCTCAAATCCCCACCAAAATAAATCGGCTCCGAATCCGACGAAACTCCTAGGTTTTGTCGGGGACAACACCACGAACATGAATCCCAAGGAAGCCCCATCAAAAACACAAGTTGACTTCAAACACGAACTCAAGAAATGGCCAAAATGAGATTCCAATCGGTTGGAATCGAAGGCCGCGCCGAGGCGAACAATAAACATTAAGGCATTAAGGTATTTCATTGAAGGGAAGAAGCTCAAAAGAAGAGAGAGAAGATGGCAGCCATGGCTGCCTCTAGATCGGGCCAAGAGAGAGGAGAGAGAGAGTAAAAATTTGATTTTTCACTTAAAGGCCCCCTATTTATAGAAAAACTCAAAAAGTGTCCTGAACGGGCCCTGCCTGGTCTGAAAAGTGAAATATGAGCAGACGTGCTCAAACGGCAAAAATCTGTGAACAAAAAAGATTTCAGATGAGAAAATATGAATAACGGAAGCAACGGCGTTGAAAATTGAGTCCCGAGCAGATAGTTATGCCCAAAACAAGTTTAGCACAAACCGGGGCCAGAAACCCTGAAACTGGAAAATATCGTCCAGGAGGAAATTCTAAGAATCCACGACTCGACGAAATATGAAAATGAATCCCATACGAGGATCCAGGCTCAAAATAAGGCATTGAGCAATAACTTTCATTAATTGCACAATGACCCCTCCAAAAAGTGAAAACTGCGAAACTGCCCCAGAATGAAAATATCTTCCAAAATATATTTTCTTAGATACCCCTGAAATAAAATATCTTCAAAAGATATTTATGAAAAATACCCCAAGAAAGGAAAAAGTTTCCAAAGAACTTTGCATTTATGCCCCTATGGACACCGGGAGTAACCAGAGTACTTTCTCACGAAAGTAAAGATACGTATCTCATAGAAATCATTGGGAATGAAGATACGTGAAGTCAGAAACCAACTCTGAACACAAGAAGTGTGGTTACGCAAACAGAGTGACAAATGAGGAAAAGACGGAATAGGGAAAAAGACAAAAAGTGAATAGTGTCGAAAAACGAAAAATGTGAGAATGACTCAGTCCTCAAAGGAAGTTGTCAATCCACAGAAAAGAGTCTCGGAAATCACTCCAAAGCACTCGAGACAACACTAATCGACAACAAACCAAACTCAGAAGGGAAAAGACAAAGGAAAAAATTTATCCGAAAAATCCAGGTCATTACATATTCACCCCGCTTGTAACGGGTTAAGTATGGGTTGTATGAAAATGGTTCGGGTCAACCCGTTATGATCCGTCAATCCGTTTTAGGGAAGAAAAAAATTTATTATTTTGAATAATCTCATTATTATAATTTTTTTTTTTTAATTTATATTTTAGATAGATAAAAGCTTGTAAAAATATGCATGGATAATTGTAAATCCTCTAATTTATTTGGAAAATTCTTTAAATTTATATTATATTATTTTTTTACTAGATATACATGAAGGTAAGATATTATATATATATATATATATTATGAAATCACCTGTTAAGCTTTTTATAAAATAAATAATTAAATAAATAAATTAGGTCGTCCTACTTTGAAATACAGATGTAAACATTGGATTCTTTCGAACCGTAGTATTACATACACGAAAAATCTATGATGCAGAGAGAGGGAATTTGGGATTGTGTGAGAGAATTTTAGAAAGGAAGAGGTGAATTTAAGTCAAATAGAGGTTGTGAAACTGGGTTTCTTATATAATTGGTGAAATATGGGTCAAAATGGGTGACCCATATTCAACCCATTTAACCCTCTATAAAAATGGGTTAAATATGGATCATCCAATTTGACCCATATCCATTTTAAAGCGGACGAATATGGACGTATTGGTGGGTCATACATTTGAAACATATATTTTCTAATATTGACTCCACCTTAACATGCATCCAAAGATAAATTACACAAATAAATAATACATCTAAAGAAAACCACTGCAATTTCCTAGTTTGATATGGATGAACATAGGGGTGGCAAAATAGGTCACAACCCATCAACCAGTTCATATCTGCCTGCTTTTTAATAGTTTTGGTTAAACCATATTTAAGATGGGTCAAAAATGGGTTGGGTAATTTTTAATCACTTAATTTGAGAGTCAAGATGGGTTGAATATGGGCATGGTTACCCATATTTAACCCATATTTCACCAATCACATAATAAACACACAACATACATCTATTCTATATTACACTCAACTTATTTATCTCTCTAAAATTTTATTTTTTAAACATCAATATTTTGGGCGGGTCGGTCTAGTTTCATGGGTCAATTTATTTATTTTTTTTTACAAATATACAAATTACATTTTTCTTTTCCATGTTTGTAAACATCAAAATTTTAAAGAAAATTTTATTTTTAAACATCAATATTTTGGGTGGGTCGGGCGGGTTTCACGGGTAATATATATATATATATAATATACAAATTACATTTTCCTTTTCCATGTTTGTAAATATCAAAATTTTTAAGAAAATTTTATTTTTAAATATATCTTGGTTTCACGTCTTCCCCCCCCCCCCCACCCCCAAATATGCAAATTACATTTTACTTTTCCATGTTTGTAAGTATCAAAATTTTTAAGAAAATTTTATTTTTTAAACATCAATATTTTGGGCAGATCGGTCGGGTTTCACGGGTTAATTTTTTTATTTTTATTTATTTTTTTCAAATATGCAAATTACATTTTCCTTTTCCTTGTTTGTAAACATCAAAATTTTTAAGACAATTTTATTTTTTAAACATCAATATTTTGGGCGGGTCGGCCGGGTTTCACAGGTCAAATTTTTTTTTAATTTTTTTTTTTTAAATATGCAAATTACATTTTCTTTTCAATGTTTGTAAATATCAAAATTTTTAAGAAAATTTTATTTTTTAAATATCAATATTTTGGGCGGGTTTCATGGGTCACCCTTTTTTTTTTTTTTTTTTTTTTTTTTTCCATGTTAGTTTTTTTTATTTGTTATTAAATAAAATTTTCTAAAAAAGAAAAATTAAGAATAAAAATAATAATAATTAATGGATCCATAGGTTAGGTTGACTCTATTCATTTTCAACCGGTCATATTCACCCAAACCCAAACTCAAACTTGCCCATTTTAAACCCAACCCAGACCCTAACTAACCCGTCCATTTACCACCCATAGATGAACATAATTAAATACCATTGGGGGCAAGTCCGAGTCGGCACACGAAAAAGCCGAGGCGCTGCAGAGGTGCGCCCCAATTCTGATACTCGCGTTTGGAAACCTGCTTAATCAAGTTGCCAAACTAGACCTTAGCGTCATAATAACGCTAAAAAAGCCTTTTTCTAACGCATTTGCAAAGAAGATAAACCCTATAGACCTCGTCTGTTTGAATCTCTCTCTCGCGCTTATAGGATTTTGCGAAGAACATAAACCCTATATGCCTCTTCTTTTGATTGAATCTCTCTCTCACTCACGCTTTTATAATTTGGGTTAGGGTTTATTACTTCAATGGCTGCTTTTGGCGCTGCAAATCAGAATCCGAACAAATCGTTTGAGGTGATTTTTCACTCAATTTTTCACTCATTCATATGCGGGTGTTGTTTCTTTTTGTTTATTCTGCGTTGGTAATTTTTATTGTATACACATGTAGGTGATACAACCTCCAAGTGATTCTGTTTCGAGCCTTAGTTTCAGTCCCAAGGCCAATCATCTGGTTGCGACTTCATGGGATAATCAGGTTCGTTTCCTTGAATTTTTTTTTTTCTTTGTTATAATGTTAACCTTCTTGAATATTTATTGATACGATTTCCATTTTAATCTGTACATGATCTTAAGCCGATTTGTTTGGCTTCTTAAAGAATGTGGGAATAGAAACAAGATTGAAAACTTTGAGTTTCTTAATTCTCTGTTGTATGGGGCATGAGAAAACTGAATCCTCTGTCAAGTAGATCTTAAGAGTTGTATGCTTTAAGTTTTTCAGTTTTTAGAGAAACTTAAACGGCTGAGTCCCAAGAATTTTTGTTGTCTTTGTTGCAATCAACCGTATGGTTCTTGTTAGAATTTGTAGTGCATAACAGGGACTTTTTTTTACTTTGTTATCTCTAAAGAAAATGCTATAACCTTTTCATTTATTTCTTTCTGTCTATTTTTGCTACAATGTATTCTAGGTTTTGTTTGAATTAATAAACTAATATCCAATTCCTGCTTGTGTTAAATCTCCATAGGTACGATGTTGGGAGATAATGCGGAGTGGGACTACTGTTAGCAGTGTACCCAAAGCATCAATGTCACATGACCAACCGGTAATACATATCAAATTTTCATTAAGTTAGGAATAGACTTTTTGATGTCGAGAAAATTGTTTTTGATCATTAATCTTTTTGAAGGTTTTGTGCTCAACTTGGAAGGATGACGGGACAACTGTTTTCTCTGGAGGATGTGACAAGCAAGTGAAGATGTGGCCGTTGTTATCTGGTGGCCAACCAGTGACCGTAGGCATGCATGATGCACCCGTAAAGGATATAGCATGGCTCCCAGATATCAACGTCTTAGTTACAGGAAGTTGGGATAAGACTCTGAGGCAAGAAAATTTTACTTTTCCTTTTTAAAATTGTTTTGAGAGATAAGTAATGCAGTAGGTATGTCGTAACGGTAATGGTTATGGTGATATGAACAGAGTGTAATGGAAATGAGATTGACGGACTGGCTATCAGAGTCTCTCTCTATCTCTATTTCTGTCCAGAAGGTCTCAAAAATGATGCACCTTTTTTTAGTCCCAGAAGCATATGAATTTGGGTTTTTATTGATTTCTGTTGAATTTTATGAAGATAATTTATATTGATGATGATTATATATTTAATTAAGTCGTGTGGATGTTAGAGATTTTTACTTTACATTACTTCTATGACAAAAAATGCATGCAGAACATGAAAAACAATTGGAAGTTATATTAATTAGGCTTATCAAATAAGTTGTTTAAGAATATGAAATTAAATAGTTGAGGCCATGTCATGATACCTTTTTATAAGTCTCACACTAATCAGTTGTAGTGTTAGTATGCTGTACATACTCATGTACTCGAACATTTTTTTGGTCATGATTTTTGAGTACCCATGTTTTAATCTGTCATTTTTGTGTCTGTTATCCTTTGTTTTCCAATATATTTCACTTGCATTTACTGGCGAATCATCATGAAATATCATGCCGTCATCAACTGTTCACATTTTGTTTATTTTTTGGTGAATTGTTTTGTTTATGATGTAGCATAATTGGATGCAATCTAGGTAAAGAACCTGTGTAGTTCAAGACAGTTTTGGTTAGTGAATAGGTTCTCGTTTGGGGACCTTGTGTGTAGGACAACATGTCATGCATGCTTCAGGCACAATAAGTTAAGCATGTGTTTATGTGAATCATTTTTTGGAACAATTTGATGGTGTTAGGATTCAGTAAAATAAGTGAAATTTTGTAGACTAGGTGCCTCTATAATCATGCAAAGTGACTTGAGTGAGATTTGCACTCTCTTCACCTTTTCCCACCCCTCTTGTTAGAGGCCCTCTTTGGGCCATTTTTAATTTATTCTTGATGAACTCTCAAAGAAGCGTGGTGGAGCTTGGGAGAGGCTCTCAACATACCTACTATTTTATGGTTATCCTCATGTATTATATTATTTGTGACTTCTAATTAACCTTGGCACCTGTGATCTTAATTCTATGTCTATTATCTATTTTTTCTTGTTACCTGTTCACCCCATGTTTTAAATATATACTCCATTCACACACTGTAATTTCCCCTGCTCCTGATTCCTTATTTGTATGGCATATTGTACTCACACATCTGGGTGCTGAGATTTTATGTGCTACCATTTTTTAGGTACTGGGATTTGAGACAGTCGAATCCAGCTCATGTTCAACAACTTCCCGAGCGCTGCTATGCACTTACAGTGAAACACCCTCTGATGGTTGTTGGCACCGCAGACAGAAATATTATAGTTTTCAACTTGAATAACCCTCAGGTATTGTTTTTATTCTGTCTCATAAATGATTGAAGTCATTTTACAATGTCTCAAGGTAGTTCTAGACTTGCCAAATCATCAGACATTGCAGTAGCATAAATATCAGCTTATCTAGTGGGTCGCAATATTCAACATGAACTTTCGTACGAGAATTTGGACTTAATATCCAATTTGAATGATCTGGGATCTAGTATGTGATCTTGAATTCGTGAGAATTTTGAATGATGTGGGATCTAGGATGTGAGCTTGAAGTCATAATAATCTGGTCGAACTTTAGACTTAAAATTTTCTAGTTTGTATCATTATCTCGTTGTTACTATCAAATGATGTGGGATCTAGGATGTGAGCAAGGCATAATAATCTGGTCGAACTTTAGAGTCAAAATGTTCTAGTTTGTGTCATTATCTCGTTTTTACTATCCTTTAGTTTCTGCCAATAGCGATTCACTGAATGTTCGTGGTCTCAAGACTAAAAAATTTATACATAGACAGGATCTCAAAATTTTATTTTATTATATATATATATATATATATATATATATATATATATATATTGCATATTCGATGATTCCAGTCATTTAAACTGATTTGCGTGTCAAGTTATTATCCGAACAACTTCTTTTAAGTCAGTTTAATATATGAGCTCTAGAGATTGTGTGCAGGAAGTTAACCTAGATAATGAAAAATTTACAGACACAGCAGTGAGTAGTCTTGAAATTTATTTTGACCAGACAAGAGCTATAGAAAAGTGAGGCAAAACCACTTATGAGTTTTGACCTTTTTCTTGAATGCTATTCATATTAAGCAAAATTTCAAACTGGACATTCTTTTTGGGTAAGATTAGAACTTCAAATAGGACCAATAATGATTGAAAGAGTCATCCTTTGATATATCTCTTCTTTTATTAGGCAGATATAAACTTCCATAAAAGTAACACTTCTTTAATAGACAGGAAAACACACCCGTTGTTTCACAGCTTAGTTAGCTTAAAGCTCCAGTATGCTAAAACAAATGGGAAATGAGTTGATAGAAGCTCTTTAAACGCAAGTTAGTTTTGCACATGATGCATTGGTTTGGAATTAACTTCTAGTAATCAAAATAGTGGTGGTTAAAGCACAAGATGTGCTAGTTAATTGACTTCTATAAATTAAACATCGTAATTGCAGTTGTACCTAAGGCTTCCAGTATATGCACACAAAATTTTAATGAAGGCAGCCTCGATCTCAATAATAAGCTGTCTTAGTTGTTTGCTTTAAGACTGCGAGGGAGGATTTAGTCCAACCATAAGATAATAGAAGAGAATCGAATTAAAATTCTATTTGGTCTCAACGAAACTCATAAGCATCACGATTCTCAAGTAATTCATTCATCAATTCTGATGCCAGTCCGTGATGCAGAGTCCTTTTAGCTGCTGTAACCAATCATAACTGTGAAGGGGCAACTGGTAGAACTTACAATTATCAAAGAAGTGTAAGCTCTTATGGAAAACAAATTAAATTTGGATTTATTATTATTATTATTATTTTTTATGAGAAATTCTTTAGATGCTTCTCCACCTTTTAGTTTATTGACTATGATGTATGATATTATAAATGGCTAGATAAGAATGTGGTCTATTTGATTGGTGTTAACATTTATAGTGGGTATATTTTTTTTATGTCTGAATTATATGAGATGGCAAGTCCCTTATCTTCTGTATTCATTTTGAATATTTAAGTCTCAGCATCTTTGGTTGTTGTAACTTGCAAGTTGTTGCATTAGTCTATTTTCTTGCAAATCTCTCTCCACCAACCACACAATTGTGAGTTGTTTGTGTCAGCATGACCGACTCTGCTTTTAGGTTACTCCTTATGTCTGTGGTTAGGCTTGCAACTTAAATGGTTGAAACAGGAGTCAGCGTCTCGGACACATCTGGCCGTTTCATGATGATTCCATGATATTTGGTGGAAATTTGAAAACTAGATGAGTAAGTGGGAGCTGCTGGGGGAAAAGGAGTTGTCTTAATGACCATAGGCTTCTCGCTTTCTCCAAGCTTGAAGGCTTGGGAACGGCGGGCTTGCGTGCCTTCAATATCAATAGATTCCTTGTCAGTGGCTAACTGCTCTGACACTGTGGTCTCCGATTGACGTCTTCGGTTGACCCTTCGTTCGTCCACTTAGAAGCTTCCATTCCGAGCACACTTGACGGGGATGGGGCAACGGGGTAAGACCATATTAGTCCTATGGCACTTTAGTAGGGAAATCTTCAGTCTTGGAGCATTACTACATGACTATGATCAAAATGAAAGACTAGAAAGAATCTATCAGTCAGTAAAGTCATATGATTTGAAAAGAAATGCAGCCTAGACTATCTAGTACTTGCCATCGAGTTGAAAGATAGCTCCTATTAGTAAGATGATAGTGTAAGAGTGAAATACTGCTTCTCTACATCTCGTGTCACAATTTTTTTTTATATTTTTTATTATTATTATTTTTAAAAAAATTTCACGGTTCAAATGTGAACATATGTAGCAATTTTAGGTAGAATTTTATGTATCTATGTTTCTTATCTGCAGTTTTTAATTATTTGAACAAGGTTAATTATTTTTTGAATGCAACAGACTGAGTACAAGAGAATCGTTTCACCCCTAAAGTATCAGACAAGGTGTGTTGCAGCCTTTCCCGATCAGCAAGGATTTTTGGTAAGTTTTCAGTTACTAACATCATTATTATTGTTGTATTTCTATTGATTTTGTTCCAATTTCTGGCTTTATGCTTTTCTATGACTCTAGCTGGATGACGAGTGAACTCGTAGCTGCATTCTACCTGGAAAGTTTAACCTATTTATCATGGCAAACTGCTTGATTGTAGATAATAGCATAGATGAAGTGGTATTGAATTGCTGGATAGGGAACTTAGTGATTGTGCTTTCAACACTGTTTTGGACTGGGGACTGATTTTGCTGCTACAGAAATGAGAGATCAAGTACTTTTAGTTTTTTTGAATTCTCACGGTATGTATGCTATATTGCTATGTTTGGTTTGAAGGAAGAATTGAGGAAGGATGGAAAAGAGGAGGGATAGAAGGAGATTCCCTTGTTTGGTTGGAAGGAAGGGAAGAGAAGGACGAAGTTAGGAGGGATGAAGCATCCCTTCTAGCCCATGTTTTTTTTGGGTCCAAAATTGGGCAGAAGAGAGGAGGGAAAGAAAAACTATCTTACAAGCGTGTAATACCAATTTTAACCTTCAATTATTTGCAAAATCACTTGTTAAGCCCCACTGAAATTCTCTCACACATAAACAACAATAATGAGGCTACATTGGTTTAAAAAAACATAAAAATCTTCATCCTTTCCTTCCAACCAAACAAAAAAAAGGTGTCACCCCATCTATCTTTTCTACCATCCCATCCGTTCAACCAAACAAAAAGTGAGGGAGACATCTTTCCTTTCCTAGGATGCCTTACCCGTCCTTCCCGCTCTCCCTTCCATCCATTTTTGCATCCCTCCAACCAAATGGAGCATTAGTTTTATTTTTGCATATCCTATTTGTTCCTTCGATCCTCAGCAGTAGGGAAAATTTTTCCTTGGGAAGATGGTGCATTCTGCATATAATTGTGGCTTTGGTTTCGTTCACTGCTTATAGGTGGCCTTGCCAGTGCTTTGGTCTTTACAGATGATGTGAAATCAATTTATGACCTTTAGGACTCGGCAATTCCATAATCTTATAAAATATCTAATACATTTTGGGAATTTAATTTTAGATATGTGAATTTGTAAAGTTGCAATTGATAAATGGATTTCCTACTGTGTCTCTAATGCAAAATTTATACCCGAGTGTTCTTCATTGTGGCTTCTATCTCCCTTCTCCCCCCTCCCACAACAAAAAATAGGAAATCATATTAGCCAAATAATAATTAGCAAATTGGTGCTGACCAAATGGTTGTAAGTTTCTGTAGATGCATTAACATGTCACATAAAATAGTGTATAAAACGCCAAGGTGTACACTAGTATGCATTGAGTGCTTTAGTATTATAATAAATTAAATTGCGGCGCAAACTTAGATAACTTGAACAGCTCATGATGTAGCTGTGGACCCAGCAGAAAGTTCAGAAAGTTTCCTAAAACATAGGGAGCATCAAAAAAAGGAAAGAAGTGGAGCGAAGACAAGGGTAACCAGAAATTTATAGAAAGTTTTAATTTGTTTCTAATATTTTTCAGCAACTTTCCTATTTGATTTTGACTTATATATGGTAATTAGCTAGTCTTAGGGTTATATAAAGCTTTGTAATTTCTAGGGGATCAGTTTTTTGAGTTGCAGAGAATTATTTTACAGCAAATAAAGTTTGCCTTGCAATTCTCCCTTCTCTTGCTTTTGTTCTTTATTTTGTTTCAACATTGCTGTGAAGACGATTTAATCGTATCCTCTTGGTAAGGCGGCATCAACTCATAAGGTATTTGGGATACTTTTATAGAGCTAATAATAAGACAATGGGTGAATTACTCTGGCCTCCCCTCAGGTTTGTCATAATTACTCTCATATTAAACTAGTGGAAAAAAATTGGTCGGCCTTGACTTTACTCTTACCACCCTTGGGTTAGTTGACTATTAATCAAGGTTGAAGTTAGTTAAAGAAGTAAATTAAAATACCAAGAATGCCCTTATATGATGCAAAATGGCAAAAGTAACATTATTAACCATAGAAATGACCACTTATACCATGATGTTTTGAACACAAATATCATTTTCTTGTAATCACTGTAATTATAAATAACTAATAATTTATATAATTAATAATTTTAAAATTAGATGGACTAATTTAATACTAAGGATGTTTAATTTATCAATTATATAAAAAATAGGGATTTTACATATAAGTGGGCTTATGGACTCATATTCACACTATGATGGAGTCAAAGTCTCATAGTTCCGAAAAAATTAGGTTGACCTAATTGCTGAGGTGGACATGAAGTTTTACTCTTTATTTGGAACCAAATTACCTTACTGCCCCTATTTTTTTTATTCATCCACACATATCTCATAACCCCCTTTCTTCCCCAAACATCCCCAACATACTCTCTCTCTCTCTAACCAGCGACTCATAGTTGCCGCCAATGACTCCAGGAGCTTGTCGTTCAGTTGTCGCAGTTCTGTCCTTGCTTCTTGTCGGCGTCGACCTTGGTCCTTGCCGGTAAATACAACCTCACCCAGTGACGTTTGATTTGTTCCTTCTGGGCTTTGATCCTCCATCGTCACCACCATTCCGCCACCGCTGACCCATTTTCTATTACCAGTTCAGTCCATGTTCGCCGTGAAGCCATCACTGGTTCAGTTAGCGTCTCCGGTGCTGGAACTCTGCCTGAAGATCTAACGCGCTTCACGCGCACACGATCCTACGGGTCTGACGCAACCTCCTCCTTCAACGTCAGCGTTCATTCCTTCACCGTCGGGACATGGATCAAATTGTCGCCGGAGACCTCCATGGTTTGTGATCAAATTAGGCTGCAAACCATTCTGATTGGGAGGCACTTTGAGAGACTTCTATGGTGGTTAAACTTCGCTCAAACAATTACCCAACACACTTAAAGGCATCGGCAGAAAAGAACACTGCAATTTTCATGCCCTGCTATTGATCTCATAAAAATAAATTGAGCTCCAAAGAATATGGTATATCGCTTAAAATTGTTCACAAAGTTCTAAGTTATTTTTATAAATGTTGTTTTAGGGCAGTAATCAATGGACACAAACTCTAAAGTACGAAGAAAAAATTAAGAAACTATGAAGCTAAAAAGCTCATTAAGCTCGCAAACATAAAAATTAGTTGTATAAATTGTTTCGCTGTTTAGAGAGAGAGTGTGTTGGGGATGTCTGGGGGCAGAAGGGGGGTTATGAGATTTGTGTGGGTGAATAAATAAAATAGGGGCAGTAAGGTAATTTGGTTCAAAATGAATAGTAAAACGTCATGTCCACCTCAACAATTGGGTCAACTTCATTTTTTCGAAACTATGAGTCTGACTCCGTCATAGTGTGAATATGAGTCCATAAGCCCGCTTATATGTAAAAATCCCTAAAAAATAAGTAACAAAAATTATTCTAATAAAAACATAATTTGAAATTAATATATATATAGTTAATTAATAAATTGGTACATAATAAAAATTAAACACAAATATTCAGTTTCCTGATGTATTAGTATACAATAGAAGTTTAATCACAATTATTACACATATATACTAATTCTAGCACCACCAACAAATCAAGTAAATAAACCACCAATAAAAACAGACACAGTCGCGTCCGAAACCTACATCAAAGACAGCTTACCACCTTATGGGTTCTTTTAAGATGACCCAATCGGCGACCATGCCGACCACCATAATTGCCAAATCACCGTCTAAGCTCAAGTACAAGGTGTTGGGATTGGGATTGTGTGGGTGATTTTGGGCTTGATTTGTGACGGCGACATGTTATGCGAAGCATAATCTGGAGTTTTCTTGTGGAGGGTGTGGATGATTTTGGGGGCTTGGGTGTGTGGAGACGAAATGCCCTCATGTACACTACATTCTCTATCCCTACTTGGCCTCTCATTAATGCATTCCAAAGCTTCGAAAGGGTCAACATTCACTCGAACCCATTTGACAGTGCCACCAATCTCTGTGTAAAATTACATGCGTATATAATACAGTTACGTGTGTATATCAAAGCCCCAAAAGTTTGTGTACATAGAAATCGTGAGTGTGTGAGGGTGGGGAGTGGGGTGGTGTCGTGGTGGTGGTTCAATGCACAGAGATGGTTTTGTACACCAAGGCCTTGTGACCTAGTGGTATCTCTACCTACCAAAATGGAGTGCGACGGTTCGAATCCCCAAAAGGACAAAGTGCATGAGTAGTGTGTGAGTTGGTGTGTGAGTTTCTTGCCAATGAAAAAAAAATGGTTTTGTACATTGGGTTGCTTACATCATGTTGTGCATAATTATAGTTTTTTACAGATGTGGGCAGTTTGGTAATTTTATAGCTACGGTTAGCCACGTTAACTGGGGTTAACTCTGACAGAGTGTCAGTTATTTTTGTAAAAGTTTAATATGATAGTAATAAAGCCAAACCTCAAGGGAGGTCAAGGTAATTTACCCTAAGAAAATCGGTCTGCCAAAGCATCCTAAACACCTTGTGAGGTGTCCTTCATTCCAAAATTTAACTTTCAATGTCGTGAAATTATTTTTACTTCCCATTTGACAGTAATATCTTTGTTATTCTAATTTCTTATGTGTGCGTGTATGTATATATATATATATATATGTATGTATGTATTGGTTTGTAATTCCATTTGATTTTCCTGTTTCCTGGCACAAAAAAAGCATTACTGAATTCTTACTTTGCTTTACTTATTTTACGTGTAAAAAAATATTATTTACTTTTTTGCACGTGTTGGAATATTTGATTTGTGAAGAGTTGTCACCAGTTCCTTTTTCTTTGTTTTTCTTATAGTTATTATTATTCTGGTTTGGATCAATTTATTAATATTGTTGAATTTTGGTATGTTTCTCTCTAGGTTGGCTCAATTGAGGGAAGGGTTGGTGTACATCATCTTGAAGATTCACAACAGAGTAAAAACTTTACTTTCAAATGTCATAGAGAGGGCAATGAGATTTACTCAGTCAACTCATTGAACTTCCATCCTGTAAGATTCTATATTAGTACTGTGTCTTTTCTGTTTGAGTGAGTGATTGATATTGCTAATTTGATTGTAAGACTACTGTGTCATAAAATTATTTATAGTTTTCTTCTTCTGGAAGGTTGCCTCTATTTATATCAACTTTAAAGCTTCAACTATAAATGATCAAGGCACATCATAAATGACTGGAAAGTTCACTTTATATATATATATATATATATATATATATATATATATATTTAGCTATAACTATGAGTACATGGTTTCTCTATTAATTTTAGTCTTAGTTTATATCATTGTTTGCAATGTCAGTTGTGTCGGGTTCTTGGAAATTTGAAAATTATTTCAGCATTGTAAGAGTGCATGCATAAGTTCATGCCCTGTCTAATTTGTAATTTCCCTTTCATCACCCATCCATGAGAATCTCCAGATCCTCGGCATTTTGCACTGCTTGAGCGATTTCCCATCACTCATTATTTGAAATCATCTAACTAAATAAATAAATTGGTTGTACATAAATGGTCCGGCCATTAATGTCATACCTTTGTCATTTTTATTTCTTACCTGGATGTGCAATTTTTGGTTCCGTTGTAGGATGTCAGCCAATTTGACTACAGCTGACATATTTGAACCTAACCAAATTAATGAGTTGGTTCAACTTAGGATATGTCTTAATTATTTCCTTATATTAATTTACTTATCAAAAAAATTTCCTTGTGTTAATTCATTTATATACTTCTTGCTATTTAACGCTTCTCCTGAATTTCATCATTTATAAGTTGTGTTTATTCGTTGTGCACCGGGCTGCCCTTTTTTAAGTGTGAGTTGTGTCAATTAGTGATTCCTCATGAATTCTTAACCTGATATATATTGTTTAGCTAATATTGTAGATTAGTAATGGGTAAAAAGTTATCAAGAGCTTTAGGCTGTATGTTAGACGCGTGTGTTTTTTTTTTTTTTTTAATGGTAAGAAGTTGTAAGATGAGAGATTCATTTTTGATATTCTACTGAATGGATGTTCATTTTTAAATTAATCTTATTCCAGTAATCAAGGGTATGCTAGACGCCGTGTGTTTATATTGGTTTTTTTTTTTTGATTAATAATGTGTTTATCTAGTTTTTTTTTACCAAGAGCAAGCTCATGGAACTCTTGGGTTTTTCATGCAAAAGCCAATCCATCCAGTGTGCGGTTTTCCATATATTTTGTGGGACTAATAAATGATGAACTTGCCCTCTCTGTTTCAACTGCATTATTCTTTATGAATTGAATCACATATTACTGCGTTAAATCTCTCCAGAACCCGGGTCAAAGTTTGAATATATTTGAATAACGTCCTTCGTAAACCAAGGTAGTGGATTTTGTCTAGCAATTGGCAAATTCTCACTCGCCTGTATCTTATCGGTTTAGCAATTTATAATCTCCTACAAATTGGAGGTTTTTAGGCTCCGTAACCAGACTACTGGAACCCACATATCCATGCCTGCTTGGACTTTTGCGGGAGGATCATTTCAAAGAATTCTTGTTAACTCTAGATGATTGTTTATGAAACTATATGTCCAGTGTTTTGGATTTGGTACTTCCTAAATTTTAATCTGTGAGACATCTAGTATATTCAGTACTTTGGTGGTAAACATTTTGTTCATATATATATATATATATATTGTTATAGTGTTGTTTAAGATCTTACAATGGTTCCTTGTCTCAGGTACATCAGACGTTTGCAACTGCAGGATCTGATGGTGCTTTTAACTTCTGGGATAAAGATAGCAAACAGAGACTCAAGGTGAAAAGATTACTAGTTTTCTGTACAAGTGTTCATGATTATGCTACTCTATTATGAAAATATTTAGGGAGTGATTTGGATATTTATGATTTAAAATGAATTTTTTTATGTGTGTTCCAACTTCCAAAGCATAAAGATGTTCACTTTTGTTTCAGTGGGATTTAGTTCCGATCAAAAATCGATTTTTGATTTATATCACTCCATGAAGTCCCATACTTGTTCCTATATCAGGGGAAAGTTATTTGAAGAGGCACTGAAAGCAATGAGAATTCTTATGAATTGTAACGTGAATCTCATGGAAGAAAGAGAGGATAACGCTGCTCCAATCTAGTAATATTGGAAAGACAATTAATATTTATAACGCAATGTTTACATGAGTAGCAGTATGATATTTTGGTTTGCAATCTTTTTTTGCCCTTTCCCCCTTGTTCAGTGTTCCTGTTCTTGTTCTTGTTTGATGACATTTCGTGCTTTTCCCTTCCACTGAAATTCTGTTTATTAGACACCGAGTCTTATTTGTTATCATTTTCTTGGACCTTGTAGAGATATACACTGTGTTTCCAACCCTGCAGACATGAAGAATATGATTTTCCTTTTCCCTTGGCTAAAATTATATTGAATATTTGACATGTTTTGAATGTTAGGATGGTTGGTAGCCCTGCAGTAAATTGGTTTGGGTGCATGTTGACTTGTTGGAAATACTTTGAAAATCTGCAATTTACCTTTGTTTCTAGCCAAGTGCTGTGCATAGTATTTCATTATGTTCATCCATATCAAACTAAGAAATTGCTGTGGTTTTCTTTAGATATATTATTTATCAAACTAAGAAATTTATCTTTGAATGATTCAGGCCATGTCAAGGTGCAGTCAACCCATACCTTGCAGTGCTTTTAACTATGATGGCAGCGTATATGCATATGCGGTATGTCTTGGTTAATAAAAGTACATTGTCTTGTTTCTTTCCTCTGCTGTGTGTGTGTGTGTGTGTGTGTGTCTCTCTCTCTCTCTCTCTGAACATGTGTGCTTACTGACAAAAATACACACAAAAGCAGGCACGCGCATGGGGAGGGGTAACTAGTCTAGTAATCTATATGGTAAATTTTGAAGTTCTCCAAGTGTTGACCCAACTAGTACATTTAGTTGCACTTATATGAAGTTTTTATTTGCTTTTTTATGCAGAAGCAACTAATTTTTTTATTAAAGCAACCTTATAAGGTATTATAGTAGCTTCGGCATGAATCCAGTCTTCTCCTTGTGAATGCTGGGGTGAATGCTTATGGTGCATCATAACTACATGCAGAAATTTAGAGTGCATGAAAATTGTAAATATTTCTGAGCACAAATGAATTATGTTTTTTTTCGCATTGTGTGGGAAGGAGATTATTAGTTGCATCAGTGGGAGAAACAGTGTAGTTCAGAATTCTTTTCACATATGCCATCCATCCTGGAGTTTGGAGCACTCAGGCATGTTTTTGGCCAATTATCATGCATATGCTATCCTGGCAAAAGGACGCAGCTTTCCTTTTATTATTTGCTTGGTGTGTCTTCATAGTACTTGCCGTACCGAAGCTTGTAATATAATTTTTGTTTATTATAGGTTTGCTATGATTGGAGTAAGGGTGCAGAAAATCATAATCCATCCACTGCAAAGACTTACATTTACTTGCACTTGACCCAGGTAAAATGTCCATGTGTATATTTAGAATCACAAGCATTAATTCTTCTGAAATTTTTCTTTTTTCTTTTTCCTTGGGAACATCAGTGTAAGTATTTGTTTGCTAATGAGAACAATATATGATGCAGGAGTCTGAGGTTAAGGGCAAACCAAGACTTGGAACCGGTGGTAGAAAGTGAAGCTGCTGCTTATAGCATGCCGTCTTCAAGAAGGATATGTACTTCTGTACATGGAATATATTTTGCCTTTACTTTTCCATTCACCCTATGTACAAACTGGAACTGAGATATTGCGGTGGTGCATTTAGAAGTCTTAGGTCAGAAATGAGGTTTTCCGAATTAGAATGTTTGATCCCCCTTTCAGGATAGTGTTTTTCTTTGAATATGCCTGCAGTCCATATTTTGTAACTTGATATGCATTGGATTATTCTCTTCTTCTTTTGAAAGGTTATGCATTGGATTATTAGTTGCTTGGTCAGAAGTGGGGGTATTGTTTCTATACTTGGTGAATTTTTAAACTTTGTTTGCAATCCAGAAATTTGTGTTCAACAATAAACAAGTGACTGGAAGACCAACTAGTTGAGCAGCAAGAGTTCTTCAAAGAGTGGTCACTCAGATAATGCTTATTTTTTCAAAGTGTCCTTTGCTAATTTTAATAGTATATTACTGGTGAGTGCTTGCTTATTTATTTAAAAGCTCAAGTTGGGAAGTTGGATAGTGCTGCATATCTATCTATTTATAGTCAATCACTTATTCGGATTCAATGTGGGACAAATGATCTTTGTTACATTTTTTTCTACCGAAACTGTGGCTCGGGCTATTCTGCTTACCCGGGTTACAAATTCGGACACCATCTGAACTGGGTGTTTGACGTGACACCGGATTAAGATCGAGTTTGGCTTTAATACCAATTGTAACGGGTGATCGTTTATTCATTTACTCAAAAATTAAAGTTGTAGAGTAGTATTGCATACTCATCTATTTATATTTATTCACTTTCCTATTTGAATTTAATATAAAACAGATGATCTTTGTTACACAACCCTTGTTAAAATAGAGATGCCAATGCCAAGAATTTGAAATATTCTTGATTTTAAAAGCATTTGAAAATATAAAATAATGATCACCAAAACCACTAGAAAATTCGTGACACAACCAGACAAGTTCACAACTATGGCGAACTTAAAAAAACATAATATGGCGAACTAACATTAGAAAACACAAACATATCACGGGGATGATAAATTATTATCCAATCAAGCAACTTCACATCGTCATCCCTGGCAAACCGAGCAAGATCAAATGCCCTCTGCCCAGTGATAAGCTCAACCCTGTATCCAAATACATCAGTTTATTTCTCAAGTCTTTCAGTGGATAAGTGTAAGGGATAGGCGATTATCTATTTACTTAAAAACTCAGGTTGTTAAACAGTGTTGTATTCCCACCCATTTATACCCATATCACTTCTCATTTGAATCTGATGTGGGATAAATCTCCCCTTATAATATTCTCCCCCACCCGAATCCATGCAACATCTTCGTTGCGGTTGGACCTCCTTACCTACTCGGTGTGAAGACCCGGACGTCCTCCGGGCCAGGCACTTGGTGTGACACCGGATCAAGGACTTGGTCTGGGTTTGACTTTGGTACTAACGGTAACGGTGGACGCTTGTCCATTTACCTAAAAACTCAAGTTATTGGGTAGTGTTACATACCCACCCATTTATATCCATGTCACTTCTCAACCGGATACGATGTGGGACAAGTCTCCCCATATAACAATAGGTTATATGACCAATTGTGCCATGTACAGCAGTGGTAACCATGCGTGTCCTTGTAGGTAATATATACCAAAATTTCTTATAATTTCAAGAAGATTGTAATTTAGTGGTATTTTCTCTCTTAAGATAGAAGGTTAAAATTCAATTATTTGTATAAAAAGAGTGGGTGTGAGTAATATATCCCAAAAAAAAAAAAAATAAATAACCTACTTGTTATTAGTAGTATTTTTTTTTTTTACCAAGAAGTTAAAAATTGACCAAGTATTTTTATTGGTAAAATAATTTAGGTATTTAATTTTTGTAAATGCTTATACACTCTACCTTGAACGCACCTTCAGTGTTACATTAAAAGGGATTTATTGATTCAAATACTGTAATCGCAAATATCTTTTTATTAAATTTATTTTATTTATCACGTGATATCTGAGAGGACCTTTATAATTATTCGAGCTCATATCAATAAAATGCCCATTCATATTCTCTCATGTTTTGTGATGTAGTAAATAAAATAGGTACATTATGCTTGAAATAAAATAAAAAAATAAATAAAATAGGTACATTATGCTACAAGCAGACTCAATATAATTAAAGGCCTTAGTTGGAAACTAAAATTAGACCTTTTAAAATCATCGACTCTATGAGATTAACCATTGAATTATAATATTCACGTGTCATTCTTAGCATTTTAAAAATAACACAACTTCATAGAATATATTAACAATTATTTTATTGTATCCCACCAAGAAACTCACATCCCACTTTGATAAGTCATGTAGTCACATTTATTATAAGGGTTTATAGTTCATTTTTTTCGTTAGCAATGAAAAAAATATTACTGCACTAGAAAAAAAATATAAACAATAAAAGTATAAGGATAATGTGGGTTTATATATTTATTTATGAAAAGGTTCATTTCAAAAGAAGAAAGCCGAAGAAAAGAAAAGAAATTAAATTGTATTATACATGTATATTTATATACACATATTTTAATATTTTTCTTAAAAAAATAGAATACTTTACCAACTTAGCCACCGAATAATACCCTATTTAAATAGTTTTGTACCATTTGTTGCAAGCCCACCACTGTCCTCTTTGTGAGTCAACTCTCACAAGAGACTACGCATTCTGACTGTGTTAATTCACTCTTAGCATACATTATGGAGGTCTGGACTTCGAATAGTTTTGGAGGCACTTCAATAATTTTTTGAGCACTTGTCTAGCACATGTGATATAGAATAGTTTTGGAGGCACTTCAATAATTTTTTGAGTACTTGTCTAGCACATGTGATATAAAAATGCTTGGACTCAATGGTAAATTATGAGGTATTATAAAGTATTATAAGAGATCCCGATCCACCATTGTCCAAAGAGTATTGATACAAGGCTCAACAATCGTTGCACAATGAGTCCTACACTAGGAAGCATGGATACGAATACGAATACGAAATATATGGGTACAACATGATTTAGACACGACGATATGACAAAAAAAAAAAAAATAAAAAAAAAAAAAAATAGTACACAAATGGAAAAACAATTATTTTTATTTGCTTTGTCCACATAATCATAAATGTAAGCACCAATTTGAAATTTAAAACTAAATGTTTGTTTTTTTAAATTTTAGATTATTTTTCGTATTAGTCCATAATATATTTATAATTATTTTGAATTTCATTCTTTTTTAAATAAATAATTACAAAATCACTCCGCCGTGTGTCTAAAATATGTATTTGCTATGTTTTACTCTCAACCAAAAATAAGAAGTTTAAATTTCAGAATACTTCTAACTATATTCAATACGTGTCCAAGCGTTCGACACTGTCCTATCACCTATTGTTCTTATTTTGGAGATATCATTTTCTATTATTATTATTATTGGATGGTGACTTTTTGGGAAAAAACAAGTGTGTTGTTATTAATTCGACTTGCAGCAGAATAAATCCCGGGACCATTGGTGCCCTTTCTGATTTTTTTGATAGTCGTCAATTAAAAGGAACCATTTTTGCAATTTTTGTTATAGCTATTGCAGCCGCTGAAGCAGCTATTGGACTGGCTATTGTTTCGTCAATTTATCGTAATCGAAAATCAACTCGTATCAACCAATCGAATTTGTTGAATAAGTAAAGGTAGTATTAATTATATAAATTCTAATAATCGTTGATTAATTTAGCATGTCTGCTACGTAAGATATAATCGTGCTTGCAAAAAGGTAGGAAATTAAAGTATCTTGGTGTTCTCTTTCATAAGTCAATCCAGAAGTAAACTAATTAAAAAAATTCTGATAAATCATTGATTCGTCTGGTATCAAAATATATGATTCGTTTATAAGTTTACTAAATCAAAATTTTGTGATGTTCAAAAATGTATAGATCCCATGTCACATTCAGTAAAGATTTAACTTGCCTTATCTTTGGAGATATGTCTCTCTATTATTATTATTATTATTGGATAGTGACATTTTCAGCAAAAACTCATGTGTTAATCCAATTTTAAAATTATCTATTACATGAGAAACAACATATGTAAATTGCATAGTTTAAACTTGGACTGCAGCTTGACAAGTGACATTTTAACACAACAAATTAATATATATATATATATATATATATATATATATATATTATATTGGTAAAGAAAATGGTTAGTGATAGAATTTGGTTTGAGTTAATACTAATGTGTGCTCGAAAGACAATTTTGAACATTAAAAGCACATGGGCCCTTTTTGTTTCACATTTTGTTAGTTTCGAAGGTGCTATATATCAATCTCAAATTAAGAGCACATGCCCGATAATTCAAATGGATTAGTGTTTCTAATAAATTTTGGAGTGCCAAACTTTAACTCTCTATATCTACTAATCTACTTCTAACATTTTTTGCTTTATAAATTTTTTTTTCTCAAATTACACATTAAAAGAAAATAAATAATTTTACTTTCAACTTCACCTTCTCAAAGCAGGGGCAGCTCCATTCAAATTCAGGGCCCAAAACCATGACTTTAAATGATGCTGGACAAAATTTCAGTTAGCTCAATACTCAGTTTTCCGATCAGAAATGAGTGGTTTTTTTTTTTTTTTTTGGGTGGAGACAATCCACTAAGAAACCTTATTAGCTTTAATTGTGGGCCATGTTGTTCTTCGGCTGAAAATCTTTATTTGAGGTTCAAATCGGAAATCGTATTTTCTTGTCTTATAAGACATGTTTATTAAGATTTTTGTTCAAGGCCTAAATAAAATCGGATTCATCTCAAATTTTATATTCACTAATTTTTAGTGATTAGGTTTCTTATTTTTTTTTTTTTCAGACACTAATTATTTTTAGGGTTAATTTTTTTTAGAAGTTTTTTTAGTTTCATTTGCTGATAAGTTTCTTTATAGTATTAGGTTTCTCAATTATGAACATATTTTATTGAACAACGGAAGCAACTGACACAAACAACAATCATCTTTACCGTTTAGCTTTTAAATTTTATTGTCATTGCTAAAAGAAGATAAAAAGAATAAAAATAGGTTTCGTATTCTTTGTTAAAGAAATCAAAAACTAAGAAAAGAGGGAGAGATTGGAAGAAGAAAAATAGGAGGGGAAAATATTAAAAAAAAAATAGAGATAATTTTGGCGTTAAATGAAAAAGAGGAATTTACGGCTTTTAATAGAGGAGGAGAAATAAATTTAGGACTTGTAATAATAGACTATCATATTATTGT